GACGAGGTGAAAGTGAGGGCAGGGTGGAAATTGGAAGCGAAATTGATGAACTTTTCCAATTCAGGACAAGAGAGGGAAGCAGCACCAATGATATCATCGATATATCGGAATAAAAGAGTTGTGGATGGGGTCCAGAATTGGACTGGAACAAACAAAAAAAGCTCCTGAGCTACCTGTTGTCTGCCACTTTAACACACCACCATTTTCCATGGCCAACATCTCTGTCTCTGGCTTGCTGCAGTGTTCCAGCAAAACTCAATGCAAGCTGGAAGAACAACACCTCATTTTTCGCTTGGGGACCATGCAGCCCTCCAGACTCAATATCAATAATTTTAGGGCCTAAACTCTCCCGTGTCCTAGCCCCCTATCCCACACACCAGGCCTTGTTATCACAAAGCCTGTCATTACACACTACCTTTTGTTAGTCACTAATAGTCCCCATTAACAGCTATTCACCCTCCTAGCCAGATCGTTATGAACTCCTTTGTCTATCCAACTGCTCTTCTCTCTGTTCAGGCTCTATCCTATCGCTTACTCTCTATCCCATCCTCCTCCCTATTTTCTACATATAAACCGACGTTGTCCCAGCTACCATCAGTTCTGAGGAAGGGTCACCAGGCCCGAAACAGTAACTCTGATTTTGTCTATACAGATGCCGCCAGATCTGCTGAGCTTTTCCAGCAACTTCTGTTTTTGTTCCTGATTTTATTTAACATTTCATTTAGACAATTTCAAAATTATCACTATGAAGATTTGAATGTTCTGGTTTTTTTCTGAAGTAAAACCTTAACAAACAATGAAGGAGCAAATTACTGCAGATGCTGGCATTTATACTGAAAACAACAAATGCTGGGGTTCACCGTGGGTCAGGCAGCATCCATGGAGAGAGAACAAACTAATGTTTCGAGTCTAGATATCTCTTCATCAGAGCTGATGTGAAGTGACAAATGCTGCCCTCTCCAAACTTCATGTCAGCTCTGATGAAGAGTCATCCAGACCCAAAACGATAGCTTGCTCCCTCTCCATGGTGGCTGCCTGACCTGCTGTGAGCTCCAGCATTTGTTATTGTCAGCCTTAATAAACAATGTCCTGTTATGCAAAGCTGCCTTTTTGGTGACACCAAGATTTGAGAACGATCCCTTGACAATATCAAAGCCTGAGCAAGATTACATTCTATTTTTATTATTTGTATTATACTTGTCTAGAAGACTATACTCGGGAAAGTCCTTAAGGAGAAACTTAAATATTATTCCACTGATACCTTAAAATTCAGAACTGTAACTTAGTTGTAACATTTATGTCAAATGTGAACACAGGAAATTAGCGAAGCTGACCTTAAAATTTTCGAAGTAGACATGTGAAAAATATAACAGGAAATAGAGTGCAAGGAATGCTTTTTAATAAAGAATCTAAACAGCAATTTTAATAACAGATTCTACTGTTTCTATTTCTTGCCAAGTACAAACCCTGTCATGTAATCTCTCTATTTACATACTTTTCAAGGGTTTCCTATGGAGAAGTGTTGTAGAAAAACATCCCAATTTTTGATCTTGCAGAATGCACTTTCAGGCTATAGCTTTGTAGTACATGAGGGCCTTAGGATTGAAGTAAAACTAGGTGGCAAGAGAATTGGCACTGAAAGCAGTGTAGATGAAAGCATAATTTTACCAAGAAATATTAATATGTTAAGTGAATGAATAAAACTGAGACAAATGGATTTCAATGTAGGCAAATGTACATACTGGAAATAATCAAAAAGACAAATGGAATTACAACTTTTATACTGTTAGGATTAGAGTACAAGTGAATAGAAGTCATACTCCAGCAATTCAAAATTCTGATTCGGTGACCCAGAGAATTGTGAACAGAATATTCTGGCACACCTTGGGAATGATATATTGGTATTGCAAAGAGTGCAGCACAGATTTACCAGAATGATACATGAAATCAAACGGTTAATTACATGGTGAGATTGTACAACCTAGGGTAATATACTCTAGAATTTAGAACTTTAACCAGTAATTTCATTGAAGGCTTTAGGGGGAACAGATAGGGTAGATAGAGATAAATTATTTTCAAAGGTTTGGAAGTCCAAACCTGGAGGAATTGGATAAATGTCAAAACAAGACTTTTCAGGTTTATAAGGGTAACAGGTGACTTGACTGAAACATAGAAGACCTAAGGGATCTTGACAGGATGGATGTGTTTGTTTCTTCTTGTGTGAGAATCTATAACCAGAGGTCACTATTTAAAAACAATGAGTCAAAAAGTGATGCAAACTTTTCTCCTTGCAGAGGTTCGCATATCTTTGGAACACTTGCTCCTCAAAATGTGGTGGATAGAAGTAGATAAATTCTTGAGAAGCAATGGGATGAAAGGTTATCAAGGGTAGGTGGGAATGCGGAACTATCAGATGAGCTGTGAATTTATTAAATGGCAGTGGGGTTCATTGGCCTACCCCTGCTCCTAATTTGTATATTCATATTTTTGGGTGGTGTAAGAAAACAATTATTCACACAAAGGGTTTCTGAAACTGTCTCCCACAAACCACATATGCCGTTGAGTCAATTGTTAAATTTAAAAGGAAATTGATTGATAGGGCAAAGGTGGGTACTAATAGTTAGGTTAGCAACAGATTAACAATGATCTGTTTGAATGACAACAGACTAAATTGTCTACCACTACATCCATGTATGTTGAGATGAGAACCAAGCTAATACAATTATTCAGGAGTAAACAGAACAGCAATAAAAGGCAATGGTCTGGATTTTGCATTAAGAAAAATAGTGGGACTAATAGCGTACATTATTATTATGAAGTAAATTGGACAGCAACCAAGAGTACGCACATACACTTGGAAATTCAGAAGTTAAGGTCCGAGTTACTCTGCTTCCCCACAGACTGTCCTGTATTTGTATTTTTCTGACACACTCAATGTTGAAATTCATGTAGCACATAAAGTTGCAGTACTTAACAATTAAAAGTGAAATAATGCACATCCTGAAGATGTGAAATTAAAATAAAGCGATGGATAAACCCAGCAGGTCTGGCAGCATCTGTGGAGTGGAACAGAGTCAATGTTTCAAGTCCCACGAAGAGACCCATGATGTGCTGATTTTCTCTAGTACTTTCTGTACTTACCTATTAGCTGCCCATTAAACAATGCAGGGAAAGTTAGGACTGGTGAATTCATATTTAAGATTAACGTTTAATGGCATGATCAATCATTCATAAATACTTAAAAACATCTTTGACACTGAAATTTTAGTTTCAAAAGTGTGGAGTTCTTGCTTCTTCAGAATTTAATCACTGCTATAAATTTCATTGTTTTGTGTCTTTTTCAAACCCATATTTAATTCCCAATCTTTACTCTGATTTCTGCATATGATTTAAAACTTAATTATACTTTGTGGTTTACATTATGCAAGTGTCAATGAGGTGTCATCAATCTTATTGGCTGTTCCTTCCCCTGCTCACACATATCTCAGGTCAATGCCCCATGACACAATTCTCTCGTCAAACGTCAACAAAAACATGTGTGAACTGTCATGGCAGTGGATACCTAAGGTAATGGGAGCTTGCTGTAGATACTTTTAAATAACCTGGTCAGGCATATTATGGCATAACTCTGAAGCAGGTGGGACTTACCTGGGTCATAGGGACATTACCACAGCACACAACAACCCCTTATTCAAACTTCACCATTTGCCCATGGTGGGATTGGAAACTATGTCCCCGAACATTACAAAGGCCTTCTAGATCACCAGATCACCACATTCTCATACCTCCCCCGAGATTGCTGGATGCAAATCGGCTGCTGAATTTCCTAGCAAGTTACTACAATTCAAAAATAGTTTATTGGGTGTCGAATGCTTTGGGACACCCTTTGATCACTATTGCTATATAAATTTTAATAACGTACATTAAGTGTTAACATTATCTATATTTAAAGGGGTTAAAATTGAATCAGAGATAGTAGGAACTGCAGATGCTGGAGAATCCGAGACAACAAGGTGCAGGGCTGGATGAACAAAGCAGGCCAAGCAGCATCATAGGAGCAGAGAGGCTGACGTTTCGGGTCTAGGCCCGAAACGTCAGCCTCTCT